ACATACATACATACGTACATACATACATACATACATACATACATACATACATACATACATAGCACATACATACATACATACATACATACATACATACATACATACATACAATATACATACATACATACATACATACATACATACGTACATACGTACATACATACAACATACATACTACATACATACATACATACATACAAACATACATATATACATACATACATGCATACATCCGTACATACGTACAACTACATACATCATAACTACATACATACATACATACATACATACATCATACATACATACATACATACATAAAACTACATAAATACACACGTACATACGTACATACAAAACTCTCACAAATACTTCATTTCGCATATTTGCAAATTACATACATTCTCTGACACTAAAATGGGTTTAAACAACTACAGTCCCCCTGGAAATGAATTTTCTGTCATACCATGGGTTTGAACACTCCCATGAATGACTGCTCTGTCTTAACCATGGGTTTAGAAACACCCATGAATGACTGCCTGTCTTACCATGGGTTAGAACACTCCCATGAATGAAAAGCTCTGTCTTACCATGGGTTAGAACACTCCCATGAATGACTGCTCTGTCTTACCATGGGTTAGAAAAACCCATGAATAAATGCTCTGTCTTACCATGGGTTAGAACACTCCCATGAATGACTGCTCTGTCTTACCATGGGTTAGAACACTCCCATGAATGACTGCTCTGTCTTACCATGGGTTAGAACACTCCCATGAATAAATGCTCTGTCTTACCATGGGTTAGAACACTCCCATGAATGACTGTTCTGTCTTACCATGGGTTAGAACACTCCCATGAATGAATGCTCCTGCTTACCATGGGTTAGAACACTCCCATGAATGAATGCTATGTCTTACCATGGATTAGAACACTCCCATGAAAAAATGCTCTGTCTTACCATGGGTTAGAACACTCCCATGAATGAATGCTCCTGTTTACCATGGGTTAGAACACTCCCATGAATGAATGCTATGTCTTACCATGGGTTAGAACACTCCCATGAATGAATGCTCTGGCTTACCATGGGTTAGAACACTCCCATGAATGACTGCTCTGTCTTACCATGGGTTAGAACACTCCCATGAATGAATGCTCCTGCTCACCATGGGTTAGAACACTCCCATGAATGAATGCTATGTCTTACCATGGGTTAGAACACTCCCATAAATAAATGCTCTGTCTTACCATGGGTTAGAACACTCCCATGAATGAATGCTCCTGTTTACCATGGGTTAGAACACTCCCCTGAATGAATGCTCTGACTTACCATGGGTTAGAATAGTCCCATGAACAAATGCTCTGGTTTACCATGGGTTAGAACACTCCCATGAATGAATGCTCTGTCTTACCATGGGTTAAAACACTCCCATGAATGAATGCTCCTGCTTACCATGGGTTAGAACACTCCTATGAATGAATGCTCTGACTTACCATGGGTTAGAATACTCCCATGAATAAATGCTCTGGCTTACCATGGGTTAGAACACTCCCATGAATGAATACTCTGTCTTACCATGGGTTAGAACACTCCCATGAATGAATGCTCCTGCTTACCATGGGTTAGAACACTCACATGAATGAATGCTCTGTCTTACCATGGGTTAGAGTACTCCCATGAATGAATGCTCTGCCTTACCATGGGTTAGAACACTCCCATGAATGAATGCTCTGTCTTACCATGTGTTAGAACACTCCCATGAATGAATGCTTTGTCTTACCATGTGTTAGAACACTCCCATGAATGAATGCTCTGTCTTACCATGGGTTAGAACACTCCCATGAATGAATACTCTGTCTCCCATGGGTTAGAACACTCCCATGTATGAATGCTCTGTCTTACCATGGGTTAGAACATTCCCATGAATGAATGCTCTATCTTACCATGGGTTAGAGTACTCCCATGAATGAATGCTCTGACTTACCATGGGTTAGAACACTCCCATGAATGAATACTCTGTCTTACCATGGGTTAGAGCACTCCCATGAATGACTGATCTGTCTTACCATGGGTTAGAGTACTCCCATGAATGAATGCTTCTGCTTACCATGGGTTAGAACACTCCCATGAATGAATGCTCTGTCTTACCATGGGTTAGAACACTCCCATGAATAAATACTCCGTCTTACCATGGGTTAGAACACTCCAATGAATGAATGCTCTGTCTTACCATGGGTTAGAACACTCCCATGAATGAATGCTCCTGCTTACCATGGGTTAGAACACCCCCATGAATGAATGCTCTGTGTTACCATGGGTTAGAGCACTCTCATGAATAAATGCTCTGGCTTACCATGGGTTAGAACACTCCCATGAATGAATGCTCCTGCTTACCATGGGTTAGAACACCCCCATGAATGAATGCTCTGTCTTACCATGGGTTAGAGCACTCTCATGAATAAATGCTCTGGCTTACAATGGGTTAGAACACTCCCATGAATGAATGCTCTGTCTTTCAATGGGTTAGAACACTCCCATGAATGACTGCTCTGTCTTACCATGGGTTAGAGCACTCCCATGAATGACTGCTCTGTCTTACCATGGGTTAGAGCACTCCCATGAATAAAATGCTCTGTTTTTACCATGGGTTAGAACACTCCCATGAATGAATGCTCTGTCTTACCATGGGTTAGAACACTCTCATGATTGAATGCTCTGTCTTACCATGGGTTAGAACACTCCCATGAATGAATGCTCTGTCTTACCATGGGTTAGAGCACTCCCATGAATGAATGCTCTGGCTTACCATGTGTTAGAACACTCCCATGAATGACTGCTCTGTCTTACCATGGGTTAGAGCACTCCCATGAATGACTGCTCTGTCTTACCGTGGGTTAGAGCACTCCCATGAATGACTGCTCTGTCTTACCATGGGTTAGAACACTCCCATGAATGACTGCTCTGTCTTACCATGGATTAGAACACTCCCATGAATGAATGCTACTGCTTACCATGGGTTAGAACACCCCCATGAATGATTGCTCTGTCTTACCATGGGTTAGAGCACTCCCATGAATAAATGCTCTGGCTTACCATGGGTTAGAACACTCCCATGAATGAATGCTCCTGCTTACCATGGGTTAGAACACCCCCATGAATGAATGCTCTGTCTTACCATGGGTTAGAGCACTCCCATGAATAAATGCTCTGGCTTACCATGGGTTAGAACACTCCCATGAATGAATGCTCTGTCTTTCAATGGGTTAGAACACTCCCATTAATGACTGCTCTGTCTTACCATGGGTTAGAGCACTCCCATGAATGACTGCTCTGTCTTAACATGGGTTAGAGCACTCCCATGAATGACTGCTCTGTCTTAACATGGGTTAGAACACTCCCATGAATGAATGCTCTGTCTTAACATGGGTTAGAACACCCCCATGAATGAATGCTCTGTCTTACCATGGGTTAGAACACTCCCATGAATGAATGCTCCTGCTTACCATGGGTTAGAACACCCCCATGAATGAATGCTCTGTCTTACCATGGGTTAGAGCACTCCCATGAATAAATGCTCTGTCTTACCATGGGTTAGAACACTCCCATGAATGAATGCTCTGTCTTTCAATGGGTTAGATCACTCACATGAATGACTGCTCTGTCTTACCATGGGTTAGAGCACTCCCATGAATGAATGCTCTGGCTTGCCATGTGTTAGAACACTCCCATGAATGAATGCTCTGTCTTACCATGGATTTGAGCACTCCCATGAATGACTGCTCTGTCTTACCATGGGTTAGAGCACTCCCATGAATGACTGCTCTGTCTTACCATGGGTTATAGCACTCCCATGAATGAATGCTCTGTCTTACCATGGGTTAGAACTCTCCCATGAATGAATGCTCTGTCTTACCATGGGTTAGAACACTCCCGTAAATGACTGCTCTGTCTTACCATGGGTTAGAGAACTCCCATGAATGACTGCTCTGTCTTACCATGGGTTAGAGCACTCCCATGAATGACTGCTCTGTCTTTCCATGGGTTAGAGCACTCCCATGAATGACTGCTCTGTCTTACCATGGGTTAGAACACTCCCATGAATGAATGCTCTGTCTTACCATGGGTTAGAGCACTCCGATGAATGACTACTCTGTCTTACCATGGGTTAGAGCACTCCCATGAATGACTGCTCTGTCTTACCATGGGTTAGAGCACTCCCATGAATGACTGCTCTGTCTTACCATGGGTTAGAGCACTCCCATGAATGACTGCTCTGCCTTACCATGTGTTAGAACACTCCCATGAATGAATGCTCTGTCTTACCATGGGTTAGAGCACTCCCATGAATGACTGCTCTGTCTTACCATGGGTTAGAGCACTCCCATGAATGACTGTTCTGTCTTTCCATGGGTTAGAGCACTCCCATGAATGACTGCTCTGTCTTATCATGGGTTAGAGCACTCCCATGAATGACTGCTCTGTCTTACCATGGGTTAGAGCACTCCCATGAATGACTGCTCTGACTTACCATGGGTTATAGCACTCCCATGAATGACTGCTCTGTCTTACCTTGGGTTAGATCACTCCCATGAATGACTGCTCTGTCTTACTATGGGTTAGAACACTCCCATGAATGAATGCTCTGTCTTACCATGGGTTAGAGCACTCCATTGAATGACTTCTCTGTCTTACCATGGGTTAGAGCACTCCCATGAATGACTGCTCTGTCTTACCATGGGTTAGAGCACTCCCATGAATGACTGCTCTGTCTTACCATGGGTTAGAGCACTCCCATGAATGACTGCTCTGTCTTACCATGGGTTAGAATACTCCCATGAATGACTGCTCTGTCTTACCATGGGTTAGAGCACTCCCATGAATGAATGCTCTGTCTTACCATGGGTTAGAACACTCCCATGAATGACTGCTCTGTCTTACCATGGGTTAGAACACTCAGTTCAATGAGTTGTTTACAATCGTATCATTACGATTTCGCTTGTCATTGAACACCGTCGTCGTTGCTAGCAAAATCCTGGTCAGAGTAACTGTGGGAGCAGACATACCTGGACCTGCTACAACTCACTGCACCATTAAACGCCACAATCACTAGCAATATTAAACACTACAGTCTCTAAAGGTTTGAAAATTACAATTCCTAAACATCGGCAAGAAGAAAAATGTGAAACTATTGGTAAAGTTAACGAAATGTTATAGAAAAAGGGAGCAAGTGCAACTAATGCGACATTTTTATTGTAGCAACGTTTCGCTCTCCAAGCGTACTCTCAATTTCTCTTACGTCGTCTTCCGTCAAGGTTGATGTTTCCAGGAGTGTGATTCATCTCTGTATTCGACTGATGAAGACTGCAGAGAGGACGAAAACGCTTCGTCAACAAAGATTTCTAGTGTTGCACAAATCATACCAGGGGTGAGGTTTGAACTCGCGGTCAGAGAGTCTCGAAACTCCAGACCGTCGTGTCAGCCACTGGACCAGCTAGCTGGCCCAGTGGCTAACGCGATTTCGTGAGTCATAGTGTTGCACATGTGTCTTAGTTTTCTAACCATAATGAGTCAGGTACAGGTCAGGTGCAGGTCAGGTGCAGGTCAGGTGCAGGTCAGGTGCAGGTCAGGTGCAGGTCAGGTGCAGGTCAGGTGCAGGTCAGGTGCAGGTCAGGTGCAGGTCAGGTGCAGGTCAGGTGCAGGTCAGGTGCAGGTCAGGTGCAGGTCAGGTGCAGGTCAGGTGACGCAGAGCAAATGTGGTTAGGTCGTAGGAACTTGTATTTTCTAAATAAAACAAAAATATAAAAATCCTATCAGCCATGTAAAGAAATTACTGTTGTTATACATATTAAGTGATTAAAATTTAGATTTCTATATTATACTACAGATAAAATTTGATAGTTAAAGGCCCTGCCGAAAGCCACTAATTATGCAAATGTAATCCGGGCAGATGACATGTGATACAGCGTACCTCACTCTGTTTTTCCTCAGTGATTCCGGTGAGGTGAATAATGGCAGCCTCAAGGAATTTCGTTTGGAGTTGTCATTTTTTTTAGTAATTAAGATGTGCTAAATTCCAGTTCATGATGTGTAAGTGTGGGGCTTCGATTCATCATGCATGTGTTGTGTGTGTTATCATATCTGTATGCTTGCTTGCGTTTAAATCTCTGGCTGTATCACCTACATAAAAATGATCGCATGCTCCACAAGGGATGCTCTGAACTCCAGGCACAGCTGGAGTCTGGGGAAGTGTTAGACTCTTAGTACTCTTGACGTGTGAAATTTGTGAAGGGATTTAGAAAAACGGGAGAGCTGAACTTAAATGTGGGAGGTGAGAAGCACAGTTCGGGATGTCGAGGCTTTGAGTGTCATTTGAATTTTGATGTCTGCATGTATCTGGCAAGAGAGTTATTGAGTGAGTAATGGTATGTATGGTTCTTTTTTTTTTTTTTTTTTTGTAACCCTTCCTTAGTGGAAGATTACCAGTGTAGTAAAAATAATTATACAGACATTATTAACAAGTAACAATGTTAATAATAGTAACAACCAGGAATAACACCCACAGTTACCAATAGTATATATATTTATATCAGTATATATATTTATATCAGTAACAAACAGGAACAATTAACACACTTACAAGAAGTATATATCAAAGTATGCAAATCTCTCTACCAAGACAGGAACAATTCTTAATAAAATCACAAAGCTGAAAAAAATAACACTTCAGACGTCTCTGAACTATCTAATTTTCCTGTCCACTCTGAAGTTTATTTCTGAAGTAAGAACAGCGACGACCCACGTCAATAACAAGTTTCATTGCAGGTCCATGAATCATTTCCTGGTGTTCTTCTTGGTTCTTCTGGTGCTGGAGATTGTTGTCTGCACCGTGTTGAAGTACGAGGTTTATGACGACGATACTATGAGTGAGTACCAGTCCACACACACACACACACACACACACACACACACACACACACACACACACACACATACCTTTTATACTCTCGCAATAATAATAAATTTTGTGACCAGAAAATGTCTTGTTGGCCAGAATACTGGTTAACCGAGAGCTCTTCCTCCACCTGTACACTTGTACAACGATGGTACATTCCCTCACATGTACCCCTGCACCACGATGGTACAGTCCCTCACATGCACCCCTGCAAACCACGATGGTACAGTCCCTCACATGTACCCCTGCACCACGATGGTACAGTCCCTCACATGTACCCCTGCACCACGATGGTACAGTCCCTCACATGTACCCCTGCACCACGATGGTACATTCCCTCACATGTACCCCTGCACCACGATGGTACATACCCTCACATGTACCCCTGCACCACGATGGTACAGTCCCTCACATGTACCCCTGCACCACGATGGTACAGTCCCTCACATGCACCCCTGCACCACGATGGTACAGTCCCTCACATGTACCCCTGCACCACGATGGTACATTCCCTTACATGTACCCCTGCACCACGATGGTACAGTCCCTCACATGTACCCCTGCACCACGATGGTACAGTCCCTCACATGTACCCCTGCACCACGATGGTACAGTCCCTCACATGCACCCCTGCACCACGATGGTACAGTCCTCACATGTACCCCTGCACCCCGATGGACAGTCCTCACATGCACCCCTGCACCACGATGGTACAGTCCCTCACATGTACCCCTGCACCACGATGGTACAGTCCCTCACATGCACCCCTGCACCACGATGGTACATTCCCTCACATGTACCCCTGCACCACGATGGTACAGTCCCTCACATGTACCCCTGCACCACGATGGTACATTCCCTCACATGTACCCCTGCACCACGATGGTACATTCCCTCACATGTACCCCTGCACCACGATGGTACAGTCCCTCACATGCACCCCTGCACCACGATGGTACATTCCCTCACACGTACCCCTGCACCACGATGGTACAGTCCCTCACATGTACCCCTGCACCACGATGGTACATTCCCTCACATGTACCCCTGCACCACGATGGTACAGTCCCTCACATGTACCCCTGCACCACGATAGGATATTCGTAATGAACGAAGAACAGAGGTACATTTGTAGTGATGTCACCTGGCTAACACAGTTTCCAGTCCATATAGTTCCTACACTGAAATAGCTTGAAAGTGTTCCTGAGGGTCACTGGTGTGGCCTGCTAGGAAGAAACATGACTTGTAACCAGGCTACCTAGCGTCTTGTGGCGTCTGTGGCTGAGTGATCTAAAGCTTCACTTAGGGATCTATAACACCACCCATACGTGGATTCGAATCCCACTGACTGCGATCTATCTGTGAATATATATATATATATATATATATAATATATATATATATATATATATATTATATATATATATATATATATATATATATATTTATATTATATATATATATATATATATTTATATATATATATATATATATATATATATATTATATATATATATATAATATATATATATATATATATATATTTATATAAAATCGCAAACAGTAGATCTTAAAAATGCAAAATGAGCCACGTAGGAATGGAAATCTTAAGCTGTAGATTAATATCTAAAGATCTCGTAACACATATGGCTTGTTCCGCATTTACATACATATAGATATCTAATATTCCATATAAAATCGTTAATGAGAGGTGTGTATGTTTGTGTTTGTGCAGGTGACATGTGGTACCTGGGAGTGCCTGACAATACCACATCTACCACCAGTGATGTGATACAGGACAGCTCCTCCTTCCTCGTCATCTTCAACTACATCATTCCCATCTCACTCTACGTCACTCTTGGTACGTATCGCAAGTAGCCGTCACAGTGGGAGTCGCTTTTCATTGCAGAAGCGTCACGGCTCCGTCACAAAGAGTGTCACATGCAGTAAGTGTTTGCAACATTCCACTCCTCTCATTTTTTATATTTGCAATCTTTTTTGTACCTTTCCTTTTGATATCAAGGATATTGTTTGTGCTGCGATTCCAGCACCTTGATAACCCTGAAGTGTTTTTACATTATCCACATTACAGTAAAAACTGTAAACACCCCACACACACACACCCCAATATATATATATAATTATATAAATATTTTATATAATATATATAATATAATATATATATATAATATATATAAAATATATATATATATATAATTATATATATTATTTTATAATATATATATATATATATACTTCACAAAATCTACAATTATACCTAAGCTTCGTGGAACGAGTTTCACAAGTTCAGGAACGTTCTAACGCTGTCTCCGTGGACTACACCCCCGAATTATGAATAAATGTCCTAGTGGTAAGGCTCCTGGACGTTTCTCCTACCCTCCTGCTCAAGGAAGGAGTTGTAGGGCATTCCATATCCAACCCTGTCTACGTCAACTATACCCCCGAATAAGTTGGCTCGTGGCTTGGTTGGCAAACCTCTCGCTTCACACGGTGAGATGTTCGGGTTCGATTCCCGGCAAGGGTGAAAACATTGGGCGTGTTTCCTTACAACTGTTGTTTATGTTCACCCATCAGTAAAATGGGTACCTGGGTGTTAGAGGACTGGTGTGGGTCGCATCCTGGGAAAAAACTGACCTAATTTCCCCGAAATGCTCTACTTAACAAGGGGCTTTCTATATACTAGTATGTCACTGATGTCAGCTATGGTCTGTATACCTTCTACATTTAGAAAAAAAGATATATGTATTAATATTTCCGTGGTAAGACTACTGAATCGTCTCTCTTCACCACCTAAACAAACCTACAGAATTTGTAGGGCTTTAGAGTTTTAACATTGTCTGTTGTATATCACTGTGATAAACCACGGAAAATGGAGTCATGTTCTAACAGTGTAACTCCCTTGATTCCTTTCTCCAGAGATGCAGAAGTTCCTGGGAGCCATGTTCATCGGCTGGGATGATGATCTGATGTGCAAGAATACGGGGGAGAGATGCAAGTGTAACACCTCTGACCTGAACGAGGAGCTGGGACAGGTGGGTGTGGCTCACAAGGAGCTGGGACAGGTGGGTGTAGCTCACAAGAAGCTGGGACAGGTGGGTCTGGCTCACAAAGAGCCGGGACAGGTGGGTTTGGCTCACAAGGCGCTGGGACAGGTGAGTTTGGCTTACAAGGAGCTAGGACAGGCGGGTCTGGCTCAGAAGTGGCAAGGAAAGGTGGGTCTGGCTCACAAAGAGCTGGGACATGTTAGTTTGGCTCACAAGGAGCTGGGACAGGTTAGTGTGGCTCACAAGGAGCTGGGAGAGGTGGGTTTGGCTCACAAGGAGCTGGGGCAGGTGGGTCTGACTCAAAAAAAGCCGGGACAGGTGGGTTTGGCTCACAAGGAGCTGGGAAGGTGGGTCTGACTCAAAAGGAGCCGGGACAGGTGGGTTTGGCTCACAACGAGCTGGGACAGGTGGGTTTGGCTCACAACGAGCTGGGACAGGTGGGTTTGGCTAATAAGAAGCAGAGACAGGTGGGTTTTGCTCACAAGGAGCTGAGACAAGGGGTCTGGTTCACAAATGGCAGGAACAGGTGGGTCTGGCTCACAAGGGGCTGGGACAGGTGGGTCTGGCTCACAAGGGGCTGGGACAGGAGGCTCTGGCTCACAAGGGGCTGGGACAGGTGGGTCTGGCTCACAAGGGGCTGGGACAGGTGGGTCTGGCTCACAAGGGGCTGGGACAGGTGGGTCTGGCTCACAAGGGGCTGGGACAGGTGGGTCTGACTCACAAGAGGCTGGGACAGGTGGGTCTGGCTCACAAGGGGCTGGGACAGGTGGGTCTGGCTCACAAGGGGCTGGGACAGGTGGGTCTGGCTCACAAGGGGCTGGGACAGGTGGGTCTGTCTCACAAGGTGCTGGGACAGGTGAGTCTGACTCACAAGGGGCTAGGACAGGTGGGTCTGGCTCACAAGGGGATGGGACAAGTGGGTCTGGCTCACAAGGGGCTGGGACAGGTGGGTCTGGCTCACAAGGGGCTGGGACAGGTGGGTCTGGCTAACAAGGGGCTGGGACAGGTGGGTCTGACTCACAAGGGGCTGGGACAGGTGGGCCTGGCTCACAAGGGGCTGGGGCAGGTGGGCCTGGCTCACAAGTGGCTGGGACAGGTGGGTGTGGCTCACAAAGGGCTGGGACAGGTGGGTCTGGCTCAAAAAGGCGCTGGGGGGGAGGTGAGTCTGGCCACAAGGGGCTGGGACAGGTGGGTCTGTCTCGCAAGGTGCTGGGACAGGTGGGTCTGACTCACAAGGGGCTAGGGCAGGTGGGTCTGGCTCACAAGGGGATGGGACAAGTGGGTCTGGCTCACAAGGGGCTGGGACAGGTGGGTCTGGCTCACAAGGGGCTGGGACAGGTGGGTCTGGCTCACAAGGGGCTGGGACAGGTGGGTCTGACTCACAAGGGGCTGGGACAGGTGGGTCTGGCTCACAAGGGGCAGGGGCAGGTGGGCCTGGCTCACAAGGGCTGGGACAGGTGGGTCTGGCTCACAAGGGGCTGGGACAGGTGGGTCTGGCTCACAAGGGGCTGGGACAGGTGGGTCTGGCTCACAAGGGGCTGGGACAGGTGGGTCTGGCTCACAAGGGGCTGGGACAGGTGAGTCTGGCTCACAAGGGGCTGGGACAGGTGGGTGTGGCTCACAAGGGACTGGGACAGGTGGGTCTGGCTCACAAGGGGCTGGGACAGGTGGGTCTGGCTCACAAGGGGCTGGGACAGATGGGTCTGGCTCACAAGGGGCTGGGACAGGTGGGTCTGGCTCACAAGGGGCTGGGACAGGTGGGTCTGGCTCACAAGGAGCCGGGACAGGTGGGTTTGGCTCAAAAGGAGCTGGGACAGGTGAGTTTGGCTTACAAGGAGCTGGGACAGGTGGGTCTGGCTCACAAGGAGCTAGGACAGATGAATCTCGTTCACAAGGAACGAGAACAGGGACAGGGTGGGTTGGCCTCATAAGAAGCTGGGACAGGTGGGTCTGGCTCACAAGTGGCAAGGACAGGTGGGTTTGGCTCACAAAGAGCTGGGACATGTTAGTGTGGCTCACAAGGAGCTGGGAGAGGTGGGTTTGGCTCACAAGGAGCTGAGGCAGGTGGGTCTGACTCAAAAGAAGCCGGGACAGGTGGGTTTGGACTACAAGGAGCTGGGAAGGTGGGTCTGACTCAAAGGAGCCCGGGACAGGTGGGTTTGGCTACAACGAGCTGGGAACAGATGGGTTTGGCTAATAAGAAGCAGAGACAGCAAACAAAGTGGGTTTTGCTCAAATGAGCTGGGACAAGGGTCTGGTTCACAAATGGCAGGAACAGGTGGGTCTGGCTCACAAGGGGCTGGGACAGGTGGGGTCTGGCTCACAAGGGGCTGGGACAGGCGGGTCTGGCTCACAAGGGGCTTGGGACAGGTTGATTGGCTCATTAAGTGGGCTGGGAAGGTAGGTTGGCTCACCAAGGGGCTGGGACAGGTGGGTCTGGCTCACAAGGGGCTGGGACAGGTGGGTTGACTTCACAAGGGGCCAGGGACAGGTGGGTCTGGGCTCTCAAGGGGCTGGGACAAGGTGGGTCTGGCTCACAAGGAGCTGGGACAGGTGGGTTGGCTCAAAGGGGTGGGACAGGTGGTGTCTGGCTCACAAGGCGCTGGGGACAGGTGTGTCCTGACTCACAAGGGGCCTGGGACAGGTGGGTCTGGGTCACAAGGGGCTGGGAAGGTGGGGTTCTGCTCAAAGGGGCTAGGACAGGTGGGTCTGACTACAGGGGTGGGACAGGTGGAGTTGGCTCACAAGGGGCCTGAGGCATGTGGTTGGCTCGCAAGGGGGTGGGAAAGGTGGGTCTGGCTCCTCAAGGGGTGGGACAGGCGGGTCTGGCACACTAGGGGCTGGGACAGTGGGTCTGGCTCACAAAGGGCTGGGACAGGAGGGTCTGGCTCAACAAGGGGCTTGGGGACAGGAGGGTCTGGCTCACAAGGGGGCTGGACAGGTTGATCTGGCTACTCATAAAGGGGCTGGGACAGGTAGGTCTGGCTCACAAGGGGATGGGAACAGGTGGGATCGGCTCCACAAGGGGCTGGGACATGTGTGGGGGGTGACTCACAAGGGGCTGGGACAGGTGGGTCTGGCATCACAAGGGGCTGGGTTCAGGTGGGTCTGGCTCCAAGGAGCTGGGACAGGTGGGTCTGGCTCACAAGGGGCTGGGACAGGTGGGTCTGACTCACAAGGGGCTGGGACAGGTGGGTCTGACTCACAAGGGGCTGGGACAGGTGGGTCTGACTCACAAGGGGCTGGGACAGGTGGGTCTGACTCACAAGGGGCTGGGACAGGTGGGTCTGACTCACAAAGGTCTTCTCATAATTTCACTGTTGTAACTGTGATAAATAAGTTCAATAAATTTTACCGCCATTAAGAAGAAATATTTTAATGAATTATTATTATTGTTTGTAGTAGTAGTAGTAGTAGTAGTAGTAGTAGTAGTAGTAGTAGTAGTAGTAGTAGTAGTAGTAGTAGTAGTAGTAGTAGTAGTAGTAGTAGTAGTAGTAGTAGTAGTAGTAGTAGTAGTAGTAGTAGTAGTAGTAGTAGTAATAGTAGTTAGAGTAGTAGTAGTGTAGTAGTAGTTAGTAGTAGTAGTAGCAATAGTAGTAGTAGTAGTAGTAGTAGTAGTAGTAGTAGTAGTTGTAGCAGCAGTAGTAGTAGTAGTAGTAGTTGTAGGTTAAGTAGTAGTAGTAGTAGTAGTGAGTAGCAGATTAGTAGTAGTAGTAGTAGTATAGTAGTAGTAGTAGTAGTAGTAGTATAGAGTAGTAGTAGTAGTAGTAGTAGTAGTCAGTAGATTCAGTAGTAGTAGTAGTAGTAGTAGTAGTAGTAGTAGTAGTAGCAGAAACCCCCCCCCCCCCCCCCCCCCCCAACTAGTAGTAGTAGTAGTAGTAGTAGTTGTAGTAGTAGTAGTATAGTAGTAGTAGTAGTAGTAGTAGTATAGTAGTAGTAGCGTAGTAGTAGTAGTAGTAGTAGTAGTAGTAGTAGTAGTAGTAGCAGTAGTACTAGTAGTAGTAGTAGTCGTTAGTAGTAGTAGGTTGTAGTAGTAGTAGTAGTAGATAGAGTTGTTAGCAGTTGTAGTAGTAGTAGTAGTAGTATAGTAGTAGTAGTTTTAGTAGCAGTAGTAGTAGTAGTAGTTGTAGTAGTAGTGTAGTAGTAGTAGTAGTAGTAGTAGTAGTAGTAGTAGAATAGTAGTAGTAGTAATAGTAGTTGTAGTAGTAGTAGTAGTAGCTAGTAGTAGTAGTAGTTAGTAGTAGTAGTAGTAGTAGTAGTAGTAGTAATAGTAAGTAGTAGTTGTAGTAGTAGTTAGTAGTAATAGTAGTAGTAGTGTAGTAGTATAGTCGTAGTAGTAGATAGTAGTAGTATAGTAGTAGTAGTAGTAGTAGTTAGTAGTAGGTAGTAGTAGTGTTGTATTAGGAGTAGTAGTTGTAGTTAGTAGTAGTAGTAGTAGTAGTAAAGTAGTAGTAGTAAGTAGTAGTAGTAGTAGTAGTAGTAGTAATAGTAGTAGTAGTAGTAGTAGTTAGTTTACGTATTAAGTGTTAAGGTAGTAGTTAGTAATAGTAGTAGGAGTAGTAGTTGTAGTAGTTTTAGTAATAGTAGTAGTAGTTGTAGTTGTCAGTAGTAGCTATTAAGTAGTAGTAGTAGTAGTAATAGTAGTAGTAGTAGTCGTAGTAGTGAGTAGTAGTTGTTAGTAGTAGTAAGTAGTAGTGTAGTAGTTGTAGTAAGTAGTAGTAGTAATAGTAGTAGTAGTTAGTAGTAGTAGTATTTATTAGTATAGTGTAGTAGTAATAGTTGTAGTAGTAGTTAGTAGTAGTAGTAGTAGTAATATAGTAGTAGTAGTAGTAATAGTAGTAGTAGTAGTAGAAGTAGGTAGTAGTCAGTCGTTGTAGTAATAGTAGTAGTAGTGTAGTATGTAGTAGTAGTAGTAGTAGTAGTAGTTAGTAATAGTATTAGTAGTAGTCAGTAGTAGTAGTAATAGTAGTAGTAGTAGTAAAGTAGTA